CACCCCTGGGCCGCGCACGTGCCGCCGGCCATGATTTGCGGCCCCCCCCCCCTCTTGGACGCCCCCCTCCTGGCCGCCCCCGACACGCCTTCGCCGGCCCTCCTGCGGGCGTGCCTGCTGCTGGCCTTCGCAGCCAGCCTCCAGGGGGCTGCGGCAGGGGCGCACTGGCAGCAGGGGCCGCGTGGCTTCGGCCTCGAGGCGGGCCCGCGGCTCCCCAGGGCCCCTCCTTGTCGGCAAGGACTCGGCTCCGAGCCCAGGAGGGTCTGGACGGCGCCGGCCGCGCACCATGAGTATCGTTTGACCGACTCCCATCCCCATCCCCATCCCCATCGAGACCCCCACCAAATTACCACCCCAGTTGGGGAGACACCTCTCGAAACCCGAAGGGAACCGTCTATATCCTCATCTGGGGGGGTAACTCGGCCAGTGGGGCCCTGGCCACGCCGCTGGGGATGGGGATCGGTCAAACGATACTCATACCAGACTTGCTCGATGCACGCCGCCGTATGTACTGGCGCAAGGGGGGAGCATTGCTCGGCGGCGGGCCCGGAGGGAGAGAGAGAGGGGGCAGGCCCTCTCAGAAGGCGGCGGGGTTTCTGAGAAGCCCACGGCTGATCAGAACGCACCCTGGGATAGGCCCAGGGAGTGGCGGTGTCGGTGCACTTCTGCCCCAGAGATGCGCGGGGTTTCCATAGGGCTACCTGCTCCGTTCAATGGACAGCCACATGTATGGCGAACTAAACAGTAGTTTGGCAACGGTGCCCGCCATGGCCCCTGCTCTCTCCTCGAAGCGACAGAAGCTGCATCTATGTACACTTTGGAGGCCCGCGCGGATTTCTTGGACCTGCGCCGGGGCCCCCCTCCCCTGGGCGCGCACGGGCGGCGCTGGATGCGCCGCAAGGGGGGCCCAGCGCGCCCATTCCAGAAAATCCGCGCGGGCCTCCCTTATGTCGTTTGTGTTATGTCGTTTTGGGAGTATGCTGGACTTTTTGATGTTTATGGAGTTTTCTGTTATGTCATGTCGTTTTGGGAGTATGCTGGGCTTTTTGATGTTCAGTTCCACAGTGTCTTGATGCTCTACGCGTGCTGCAGAAGCGGGGGCCGCTAGACTTGCAACGTGTCCTGAGACAATCGCAGCATGACTCGTGGCATCCTTCGGCGGCGAGCGCAGGGTGGAGTGCAGAGGGGGCGAGCCTTCTCGGAAGGCTCGGAAGGCGCCGGGCGCTCCGAGAAGGTTGCCGAGCCTTCCCCGAAGACACGGACACCTTCTCAGGAGGCGCGAGGGGGCTTCTGAGACGCCCCCGCCGTCTTCCGAGACGGCCTGCCCCGGGATCGCTGCCGAATCCTGCTCGGCCCATCCACGTCCGCCCCCGCCTGCAGCCCCCGACGTTCGTGTTTGGACCGCGCTTGGGTCCCGCTCCTCAGTGTCCGGGCGCGCTCCTCTGGGGAGCGCGCCCGCCGGGCGCCTCCGCGCAGACGGGGCCCCGCGCGCGCCGGTGGCCGCGCTCGGAGCCGCGCCGGGGCCCGGCTCCGCAGCTCCGTGCCCCCCTCCGTCTGCGCTGCCGCTTCGGGAAGGGGGGGGTGGCGCAACAGGCAGGCCCAGAGGTCGGAGGCGGGTAGACCTCGTACCCTGACACGTCGATTAAGGAATTGGCCGTTTTCGGTTCGCGAGAGGGCGTCGCGGCCGTCATTTTTGCGGGTCCAGGTCCGTCGGTTTCGGTCCCAGGCCGTTGTCACTAAGGGGAGGTTTACTAAAGGGAGGTTTGTGCACTGCCGAAGAGAGTCGGGGAGGAGCGAGGCGTTCCAGAAGGGGCCTCGCCTTCGGGGATCGGAGGAGCGGTCGTCTCTTCCTCGGCGGAAGGCGGCGGAAGGGGGGCGGAAGAGATGCGAGGCAGCCTCTGCCAGCGGAAGCCGGCGGACGTACAAAATGCGCCCCAAAGAGATGGCATCGTTTTTTGGTGCCAGGGTTTCTGGCACCGTCCAAGGCATTCCAAAGCGTTCTGGGAAGCTCTCAGAGCGTTCTGGAGCGCTCTGGAACGGTCGCGACGCTGGATACGTCCTCCAGACCCGCCCGATTGCAGAGATCCCCGATTTGTATTGGCCCGATTTTGTCCTGGTCCTGGCTTCGTCGAATGCACGGGGTGCCCGTGGGACGCGCGTCGTCTCTTGAGATGCGCCTGTCACTCATCCTCTTTTTGCTCAAAAGCCTGGCACTGCTTCAGCAGTGGCACGCCGATGGGGTCGTCTGGCCAGCATGACACTGTCGGGGGACAACATTTGTACACCATCCGCGTTCCGCAATTTTTTTCTTAGTGGAATCTGGTTCGGCCCTTTCCTCCTTACCGTCCTTCTCCTCCTACTCATCTCTCTTCTGCTCTCCGGCCACTACCGTTGCGCCCTGACCGCCTGCGGCCAATGCGCTTGCGGCAAGGGCAGGGTGACTCACCGTGCCTCCCTCCCTCCGTCCTCCCTCCGTCCTTGGTCCCTCCTCCCTCCTCCCTCCCTCCTCCCTCCGTCCTGCCTCCCTCTGTCCTCCCTCCTCCGTGGCCCTCGGAGCCGCAAGCGGACAGGGCGTTCAGTTCCACCAAGGGCCTCGCCTTCGGCGATCTCGCCCCCCTGCGGAAGGTGGCGGAAGGCTGGTGGGAGCTGGCGGGGTCAAAATAGAGCTGGCGGAGACCGGCGGGCGGCTGGCGGAACCACACCTCGACCACCAGGAAGAAGTTCGAGCACCAGGAAAGTACCGAAACTGGGTGGTTTTCGCGCGTCGGGCCCTGGGAGGCGATACTCGTTCGACAGTCTGGGTGCTTGAAATTATTAGTGGGATGTGGTCCTTAAGTGCGATGGGAGCAACATAAGGCAAGGTGCTTTCCCGTTGCCGTCGAGTTGCCCGACACGCGAAAACCCTCCAGTTTCGGCACATTTCTGGGTACTCGAGATTATTTTTGGGATGTGGTCCTTAAGTACGATGAGAGCAACATAAGGCAAGGCGTTGTCCCGTTGCCGTCGTGTTGCCCGACACGCGAAAACCCTCCAGTTTCGGTACTTTCTTGGGTGCTCGAGATCGTTTCTGGGATGTGGTCCTTAGTACGATGGGAGCAACATGAGGCAAGGCGGTCTTCGCGTTGTCGTCGCGTGCTTTTCGCCAGCCGGCGGGAGTGCCTGGGACCCCTGCAGCAGGCAAAGCTCGACGAGGGCCTCGGCACGTCGGTACTGATCAGGAGGGAAAAAACACAGACACAATTCATCGTCGACTCCCAGGAAACAATTGGAACATGTGGGAAGTGGGGGGGGAGACGAAAACCCAGAAAACATGGCAAACATATAGGGAATCCTGTTATTTGTGTCTATTCATTTGTGTGTCCCAGGGCCCCTTCAATTGATGCCCCTCGCTCTCTCTCTCTCTCTCTCTTTCTCTCTTTCTCTCTCTCTCTCTCTCTCTGCGTTGGCTTGATTGGTACACAGTGGGGACGCGCATCAAGAAACCGTATGCTTTTCGTCAGGGTACCCTGGGTTTCTTCGCTCCGCGCGCTGCGCGGTGACTTCCTGCGGCCGTTGAAGAAGCCGCTGCGTTCAGGGTACGTACTTTGGGTTCCCTCCCGTGTGCATCTCGCTCGCGGGTTTTCAGGGTTAGGTTTCTTGCGAGGGTTCCTTGCGGCCCCGTCCGCACTGTACCCGTGCTCTGATCGCAACTCACAACGCCTCTGTCCTTTGACATCTGTTTCGTCCACTCTTGCTACCCCTCGCTAGACCAGCTGGAGTCTCTCTCTCTCTCTCTCTACATCCATCCGTGTGTGTGTGTGCTGGCGTTCTTGCTTATCGCTCGGCATTGTAATATTGAGTGGCAGCTCTGCTGATGATCCTCTCCCTGAGGAGATCACAGATGATAGCAGACATCAGCAGACGGGTGGTTTCAGCACTTGTTGTGCTGCTTTGCGCTTCGTAGCTCGAGTCAAAAGGAGCGGGACGACGTGGGGGGTCGTGTCCACGATGTGCTTTCTTGGTGGTTCTAAAGTTGGCGAGGTTCTCTAGCCACAGCATGCTTCCCTCGCATTGCAATTCGTCAGTCTGATCGCCGTGAACCTCTTGTCGTTTCTGCGCTTGCAGCATGGTGTGTAGCGTGTGCGTCGTTGCTGCGTGGTGATACTGCAAGCATTACCCCCTTGATGCAACGCAGCGATCGCGGCGCGCCTTCTTCACGGACATGGAGATGACAGCGATGGACTACGTGCGTGTTATTCACGTACACTTGATTCATGTCCACTCTAGTATGATCACGATGCTTCCGATCTGCTTTATACCCAGTCATCCAGTCGTCAAGATCTCGTTGGTTTACCGATCGGCAGCGGTACATGGCCAGGAATCATCGAGGGCGGTAGTGAAGACAATCTATACGCATTGGTGGTATTGATGGTCTAGAGCGCACCAGGTCAAGCGCGATGCCCAACTGGAGCGGTCATGGCACTTGAATTCAAGGCGGTGCAGCCTTCGGATCTGCGCCTGTCCATGGGACGCATTCTTCTGGACTCCAACGGCGCCGACCGCGTCCGCTGTTTTCGGGAGGGACCCGTGAGTGATATCGCAAAAGGCCAGGATTCGTCGCCAGACGGCCCGCTGAGGAGCAGAAGCAGGAGAAAGAGGAGAAAGAGGAGGAGGAGGAGGGGGGCTCCTGGGGTGTTTCTGGCGAGTCTTGGGGGGGGCGTAGTGAGGAGGAGAAGACGGAGGAGGAGGGGTAGGGCGAGGAGGAGGAGGAGGAGGAGGAGGAGGAGGAGGAGAGGGTAAGAAGGGGGGCAGAAGGAGGAAGAGAAGGAAGAGGATGGAGAGGAAGAGGAGGAAGAGGAGGAGGAGGAGGCGGATAGGGTACAACGCGACTTGCCTTGCTCATCAACGTCTGGGCAACGCAGGTGAGGAGGAAGAGGAGAAGGAAGAGGAGGAGCAGGAGGACGAGCAGGTGGTGGAGGGCGACGGCGACTAAGACGAAGATGAGGACGACGACGGGGGCGAGCCCCTTCTGGCTCTGGTGCGCCCCCGAGCCCTCCGCCGCGGGGGGACTGGGCGCGAAGGTCCAAAGGGGCCCCCCCTCGGCCGAAGGTCAGAGTGCGAGGCGGGGACTTATCCATGCCCAGCACCTGGGAAACCGACGTCTGGGACCCCAGCGGGCGGTGGATATGTTTCGGCCAGGGGGGCCCGAGCTCCCCGAAGGTCGATCCCCCAGGCGGTGCTCATGGATGTACCCCCGCCTCGGACAGAGGGCCCCGACAGGGCGACGGGGGGGGGGAGCGGGGCGGGCATCTGCAGCCGCATCCGCGCCTGGGCGATGCTCTCGGCGCGGCGGGCGCTGCTCGCAGCCCTGACGCTGCTCCGCCTGCGCGGGTCCCCGCCGCCAGACGGCGCCGAGGAGGCCGTCGGCGGGGCCGCTTGCAAGGCCACGCGCGTCACGTCGATGTCGTCGCCACCGCCGCCGCCGCCGATGTCGTCGTCAACGTCGTCGTCGTCGTCAACGCCGTCGCCGTCCGTCGCCGTTAACGTCTTTGACATTTCTGTCGTGGTCTTCATTGCCGCGTCGTCGTCGTTAACGTCCTCGTCGTCAACGTCATCGTCGTCGTCGTCGTCGTCGTCGCGAACCTCGTCGCATGCAAGGCCGCGCGCGTCAGCAGCCTGGGCCGCGACGCGGACCCCGAGAATCGGGGGGACGTTCGTTTCTGGCTGGGCGGCGAGGAGCTGGCCGTGGAGACCAGCAGGGGCGTCAACCTCGTCGTCGTGAGCCCCAAGACGCAGGAGGTGGTGTCCGCACAGGCCTACGACACCTGGAGCCAGCCCGGGCCGGAGTCGGGGCGCTTGCGCAGCGACCTAGAGGCGCTGCCGGAGGGGCAGGTGGTGCTGATGGGCGTGAACGACACGGGGATGATGGAGGCCATGAGGGAGCAGCTCGCCGAAGCGCTGGGCAGCGTCGGCGTGACCCACCTCGAGCACACCTTCCGGGCCTCGTACGCGCTGATCGGCAGCAAGGGCGGGCCAGCCGTCGCTGAGGACCAGGCATCCGACCGCGTAGCCGAGGTCGCCGGGCGCATCCCTTGCTCTGCCGGCTGCAGCATCGCCAGGGTGGTCAGCAAGGAGGGGTTTCTGCAGGACGGGCTTCCTGCCTTCTTCCTGGGCGGGCAGAGGCTCGAGCCCGAGCTGGCGGCGGGCATCAGCATAGTGACCTTCGACCCCGTGTCCGAGGAGGCCACGGGGGCTCGCAGCTTTCCGGCCGACGCGGACGCGCAGGCGGAGGGCGGGCTGTCGAGCTACGTCGCGTCCCTTCCTAGCGATACCATCGCCCTCGTCGCCGTGAGCGGCGTGCGCCTGAGCAGCCTCCGCCGCGACACTGTCCGGGTGCTGACGGCGCTGGGGGCATCCGAGCCGCTCCTCGGCAGACAGGGGCACGAGGGCTACGCGCTCATCGGCAGCAAGGGCGGCTGGGCCGTGGCCGAGGGGGTAGGCGAGCCCGCCGTGGTCGAGGGCCCGCTGCCCTGCCATGGCCCTGGCGGCGTGCCCACGGAGCTCCCGAGGGGCAGCGGGGACTTCCCAGGCAGCAGCGCCGAGGAGAGCAACGCCGCCTGGCCCGGGGGGTGGCAGCCGCAGACCCTCGCGGAGTGGCCGAAGGACGACTACGGGGCGCCCGAGCCCTGCTGGAAGATCACGGTGCTGCGCGACGTCGCGGGTGGCTGGCCCGGGCGCTGCGCCGACCTGGAGCCGGTCGGCGACGGCGGCGCGGGGCCGGAGGCGTGCGCCAGGCTGTGCAGGCAGAGCGCCCGGTGCAGCGCGTGGCGCTTCGGGCCGGGCGGCTGCCGCCACGGGCAGGGCGTCGCGTGCGACGCGGCCGGGGACTGGGAGAGGGGTGCGGCGTCGCAGCGCCTGCAGCGCGGCGAGGTGCGGGTGCTCAAGAAGCTCGAGCGCCTGGAGGTGGTCGGGCTGCTGCGCCTGTCCTTCGAGAGCGGCGCGCGGGGCTCCCACTCCGGCGCGCTGAGCCACTGCCGGGAGTGGTGCTACTCCAGCATCTACTGCCAGTACTGGCAGTTCTCCTCGAGGGGCGAATGCTTCGTGGAGGCGCCGAGCATCAACGAGAGCGCGGCCCATTACCCGCTCATCGTCGGCCTGGGGGCCCGCATCGAGGGCAGCGCGGCTGAGTCCATGGTCGAGGGGGAGTACATCCAGCACTTCTGCCCGCCGAGGCCGCTGAGCCTGCGGGAAGCACAGGTGGTCATAAACCGCCACGTGCACGAGCCCGAGTGGTGGCTGGAGGAGTCGGGGCAAAAACAACGGCACAAACATACACTTCCGAAGGTCCGCGCGGATTTCTCGGGTCGACGTTGTACCTCCACTCCCTAGCGCGGGGAGCGCGCACAGGGCGGCGCCGCAGGCGCCGTCAGGGGGATTCACCACGTGCAGACCCGAGAAATCTCTCTGGCAGCGCCTCCGGCGCCGCCCCTGGCCGCCAGGGAGGGCAGGTCCAGCGCTGACCCGAGAGTCCGGGCGGACCTCGGGCAGTTGATGTTTACAGTCAAGGCCCAAGGCGTTGAAATATTGGCCCACCTTGTGCTCGGAAGGGGCTCCGGATTTCGGGCCGTTCCTTGAAGGCAGAGCCGGGGGGCATACTTCCTTGTGGCCGAGGCTCGCCGTGGCCAGAGAGGCCCCGACGTTCCTTGTTCAGCGCTGTCGTGCTGGCACGATGGCCGTGTGCCGTGTGCCGCGCTCTCTTCTTCCCCAGGAGGCCCCGAGCGACGCCTGGCCCAGCGGCAGCGTGCTGGCCAGCGCCGAGGGCTGGCCCCACGGGGCGCAGCCGCCGCCGCTGGCGGCGTGGCCCAAGGAGACTGCTTCTGTTGGGGGGGGCAGGCGATGACACGGGTTTTGGGGGGGGGCCGCTCCCTCCCCTCCCTCCCCTCCCCGGAGAACCGTTGGAGGCTTCGAAGTGGGTATCAACGCCAACACAGGGGGGTGCGCCCACCGGGGGAGGAGGAGCGTAGAACAGATTTCTTCGGTGTTGGTGGCAATATTTCGGCCGCCTGAGGTGCCAGAATATTACCACCATCACCGAGATCGGGATCATCTCGTCTTGGTGGAGGCACACCGCCGACTTTGGTGTTGGTGTCAACCTCTGGGCCTGCCAAACCTGGCTTTTGATGGTTGCGCAGGTCCGAAGGTGATGCGCGGCACCTGGTGCGCGCGGGCGTACAGTAGGGCCCCGACCACAAGAAAGCTTCCACAAGAAACCCAGCCTTGAGACCCCAAGACGTTCATTCATTTTCGGTGTGGGGACCTCACGCTTTCCATCGCAAAACCATCGAAACCCAGGAAACCCAGGGGCACCCTGGAGGCAAGCAGGGTGTTTCTTGGCATGGGCCCCCACTGTACGTGGGGCTGCCCACAGCGAGAAGGCTGGGCTGTCGGCCGCCACCTCCCTCCCCCACCTCCCCACCGGATAGTCCGGGCGATCGCCGAGAAGTAGCCAACGATCTCGAGGACGCCGGCGGTGCGCCCCTGCCGTGCCGCAAGATGACGATCCTGGACTCCGCCCGGGGGCTGCTGGACAGCTGGAGCGGCGACTGGCTTCGGCGCGCAGAGGGCGCTCACGCGGACTGGCGCCATGAAGCAGGGGGGGCCCCGAGGGAAGCAGTGTCACGTGCGAGGCTTTTCGCAGAATTCGGGATACGTGAGGTGTTTCTCCGATCTCGGTCTCCTGGGGCTCTCCACGGGCCCCGGGGCCGTCAAAAAACGACTGAGGTCGAAGAGCCGGTCGAGGGGAAAGGCTCCTGGGGGTTGGGGACTTCAGGGGTCCTGAGGGGGCGGTGCCCCACAGCAGATGCGTGTGACCAGAAATCTTGCCAGGAAACCTAATTACGGTTGCATGCTTGTCGTCGAGTTCTGAGCTCCCTGAAGTGCCCGAGGGCTCCTACTGGGCCCCCGGGGCCATCGAGGGGTAAGGAATTCTAGACGCTGCGCCCGCCCCGCTTCTCGGACTTTTCCTTGGAGCCGTCCATCAAAAAAAGTAACCCCACCAGCGTACTGCAGGTGCGTTGCCTGTTGTAGCTAATTCGCCTCGCCTGCTGGCCCAGACGACGCCTTCCGCTCCCTGTCCGCTGCCTCGGAGCCGCCGACCAAAAAAAGTAACCCCACCAGCCCTGCTCGCCGCCTGCCTCTTCGCTGGCGGCCGCGACCGAAAAAGTAACCCCACCAGCCCATCCAGACGATGCCCAGAAGAAATGCCTCGATCAGGGAAGTGGGCAGCACACAGAGGAAGGGTCCCCAGCGGAGGCCTCTTGGAGCTTCTTGGGGGCCTCTTGGCGGTCCCGGACGCCTCTTAAAGCGTCTTGGGTGCCTCGGAGAGCTTCTTGGGGCCTCTTGGGGGTCTCTTGGGAGCCTCTTGGAGGCCTCTTGGGCGCCTGTTGGGGCGTCCTGGAGCCTCCTGGGCGCCTCTTGGGGCCCTCTTGAAGCGCTCTTGGGAGCCTTGGGAGCGCTCTTGGTGCCATCTTGGAGGACATCGATCAAAGAAGAGGGGAGCATTAATTAGCGTTGCCCCTCGGGAACCCAACAAGTCGCCTCTTGGGGCGCTCTTGGGGCGCTCTTGGAGCGCTCTTGGGCGCTCTTGGGGCCGTCTTGGGGCTCTCTTGAGCCTCTCTTGGAGCCCTCTTGGACCATCTTGGAGCCATCTTGAGGCCTCGGATGGCCATCGGAAGAGAAAAGGCGAGAAATCCAAAAACATTGATTTCCCGCAGATTTTGGAAGGCTTGGAGCCGTCTTGGAGCGGTCTCGGGCCCTCGTGGAGCATCGTGGGAGCCATCTTGAGGCATCTTGGAATATCTTGAGCCATCTTGGAGGTCATCTTGGGCTCTCCCAGGCGCTCTTGAAGTCATCTTAAGCAGTGCCCCCCCCAAGGAGGCCAAAATGCGGCCAAAACCTTACTAAAATCAATGATTCTGGCATTCTCGCCGAGGCCTCTTGGAGCGTCTTGGGTGCCTCTGGGGGGGCCTCTTGGGGCCTCTTGGGGGTCTCTTGGGAGCCTCTTGGGGGCATCCTGGGAGCCTTGAGGGCCATCTTTGGGCCATCTTGGGTGAGATCGATCAGAGGAGGGGAGCTTCCCAATTAGCCTCTGCCCCCCCCAGGAGGCCAACATGGGGCCAACACCTTCGTAAAACCAATGATCTTGGCTTCCTCGCCGAGGCCGTTTTGGACGCTCCAACTTCCCGCGGAACCCCCCGTCCAGGTCCTGGGGAGGCAGTAGGGGAAGGGGTAAGCCCCTCCTCGAAGGGGAAGAAGGGGGCCGGAAAAGGAAGCCCTCCAGACCACCTACGCCCTGAAGGGCTGGTGGGACTTCCGTGGGGTGGGACACCTGCTGGCAGGCTGGCTCCTTGTTTGGCGTGCCTACTTTGAGTCGTTCGCCGCCTTCGGGCTCCTGGCCCTCCACGGGCCCTGGGGGCGCCAACAAACGACTGTCCGAAGGCGAAGGCCGGGCCCTGTGGGAGAGGCTCCCGGTGGTCGGGGACCCGTTTCCCTCCGGGCCCGCTCGCATCCTGCCAAGGACTGCCAGCAGGCGTGCCTCTGGAACACGAGCTGCGCGGCGTGGGCGGTGACGGACACCCACGCCTGCTTCCACGCGAGCACCGGCCCAGGGCCCAAGGATCGATCAGGGGCCACGATAGGGGGGGGACAGGTATAGGGGGGGATGCATCGACCCCCAATCGCCCATTGATCGCCGATAGGGGCGCGATAGCCCCAACCTGCCCAGGAAGGTGCGGATTCACGATCGCAGGCCTATCGCCGATCTATCGGCGATGCATCGCCGATTCCAGGTCGATGCATCCCCCCCTCGATGCCAGTCCCCC